GACCTATGTAAATAGATACTTTCGAACATAAGGAAGGACATAAGGAAGGTTAAGAGACATATGAAAACATGCTCAAAGTCACTAATTATCCAAGAGATGCAAATCAAAACGACAATGAGGTACCATCTCACACCTGTCAGAATGGCTAACATCAACAAATCAACAAATAACAAGTGCTGGCGAGGATGCGGAGAAAAAGGAACCCTCGTGCACAGCTGGTGGGAATGCAGACTGGTGCAGCCACTGCGGAGAACACTATGGAGTTTCCTCAAAAAACTAAAAATGGAACTCCCATTTGACCCAGTGATCCCACTTCTAGGAATATATCCCAAGAAACTAGAAACACCAATCAGAAAGGATATATGCACCCAGATGTTCATAGCAGCATAATTTACCATAGTGAAGGTTTGGAAACAGCCTAAGTGCCCATCAGTAGATGAGTGGATTAAAAAACTGTGATACATTTACACAATGGAATACTATGCTGAGGTAAAAAAAGAAGGAGTTCTTACCATTTGCAACAGCATGGATGGAACTGGAGAGCATTATGCTAAGTGAAATAAGCCAGCAGAGAAAGATAAATATCACATGATCTCACTCATTTATAGAATATAATGAACAACATAAACTGATGAACAAAAACAGATCCAGAGACAGAGAAGCTTCGATCAGGCCGTCAAACCTCATAGGGATCTTTGAAGAGGGTGGGGTTAAGGGGGAGAGATCAACCAAAGGACTTGTATACATGCATATAGGCCTAACCAACAGACACAGACACAGGGGGGGGTGGGGGGGGGGCCGCGGCGGGAATTATTGGGGGGGTAATGGAGCAATTGGGGGATAAGAACATATATGTAATACCTTAATAAAGAGGAAAAAAGGCTTTATTCTTGAATCTGTGCATTAATAACAAAGATGAGTAAAAAAAAAAGTTAAGAAACAATCAACTATAGCTTAACTCAAGTCATGACTAAGGTCATTCTTCTAAAACAGCGGCCACCAACCTTTCAGACCTCACGGACCACCAGTTGGCGACTGCTGTTCTAAAACATGTATAGAAAAAATGGGAGCCGAAAAGCAGATAGGAAAGAGGGGGAAGAAAAGGGAAGAAGAGAAGGAACACTGCCATACCTTGACCTCAAACCAATTAAACACGATACATGAAATGAAATGGTATTTCTGTGTTAGACTGCTCACCTTGTACTATTAGCTAAGCTTTAGTTTTATGTTCTTTATCTGTCATATAGCTTATGCCAATGGTATACATGTGCATTAACTGAAATGGCAAGAGTATTGCCAAGTGTGTGATCTGGGCACTGTAAGTTACTAAGAGACAGAACTCACAGTTGATTCCTCTTTAATGTCATAACATCTTGGGTGTGGAAGAGAGTGGGGAATAGAAAAACTTCAGCTAATGGATACAAGGTTTCTTTTTAGGGTAATGAAAATATTCTAAAATCCTATCATGGTAATCCTTACACAACTCCATAAATATACTAAAAATCACTGAAATCTATACTTTAAATTGATTAATCTTATCACATGTAAATTACATCTCAATAAAGCTGTTTAAATAAATAAACCATTCCATAATATGAAGACAGGATCTCTAAATCACTCTCTAAAAACCCTGTGTGAAAAGTATAACTCATTTAATAAGCCAGAAACATATTTTTAACCATTTTTACGTTTCAAATTGATGTCTGATAGAACTTAAAGTTCCTCAGTTTATTATAAATGTCGTTAATGTGAGATAATAGGGTTTTTTTTTCCAAAATGTAGGAATTATATACATTTGACAAATTCAAAGTAAGTAAAGCTAAGTAAGGCATATCTTACTTTGTTCACAACCATAATTCTTTGTGATAGTATTACAAATAGAATCCTACAAGATGTAAGCATTGTTTTGAATTTAGAACATTAGTCTTAGTCAAATATCAGATCAAAAAAACTTACTCATAAAGTATTTTGTTACCTTATGAGAGTAGGATTACATAGTCCATAACATACTATTGTATTCAGGTTTTAAATGCCATAAGTACTATGATACAAGTAATTCCTTTTAATATTATATATTCCAATGGTTTCCATAATAAAAATTATTATTAGTATTTCATAGCATATCTCTTTCTGTTTGTATACTTTTAATCTATCTAGAATTTATATTAAAAGTGTATCTCTCGAACCCAAAATGAGAAACTTCTATTAAAAGATGGAGATATATTGCCCTAGCCGGTTTGGCTCACTGGATAGAGCGTCGGGCTGGGGAATGAAGGGTACCAGGTTCGATTCCGGTCAAGGGCATGTACCTTGGTTGCAGGCACATCCCCAGTTGGGGGTGTGCAGGAGGCAGCTGATCGATGCTTCTCTCTCATCGATGTTTCTCTCTATCTCTCTCCCTTCCTCTCTGTAAAAAATCAATAAAATATATTTTAAAAATAAAATAAAATAAAAGATGGAGATATATTCTTCAAAATGCCACTGGTAAAAAAAGTAAAGAAAGGCAATGGAAATGTTCAAGCTTAAATTAAACTAAAGAGACATGAAAAGTAAATGCAATATCTAACCTTAGACTGGACTGTCTACTGAAGAAGAAAAAAAAAACTGAAATAAGCCAATCAGAGAAAGACAAGAACCATATGATTATAATTATATGTTGAATCTAATGAACAAAATACACTAACAAACAAAACAGACACTAACTCATAGATACAGAGAATAGACTGACAGCTGTCAGAGGAGAGGGAGATTGGAGGGCTGGGTGAAAAAGGCAAAAGGATTAAGGAAAAAACAAAACAAAACACTAACACATAGATTTAGACAACAGTACAGTGAGTACCAAAGGGGAAGGGGGTGATACAGAAAAGAGTAAAGAGTAAAGAGGGGGGGAATGGTGAAAGAAGGAGACTTGACTTAGGATGGTGAATACACAATACAATATACAGATGATGTATTACAGAATTGTACATCTGAAACCTACATAATTTTATTAACCAGTGTCACCCCAATAAATTCAAGTTTAAAAATGCCAAGCAAATCATTATTGGGTCAATTAACAAAACTAGAATATACACATTCTGACAACTTACAGTCAAACTGTTCAAAGAAAAAAATTTGTGTACGTACCTAACTACATATGTACATACACAAAACAATTGATAATGTAACAAAATGTTAACAATACCTGAATCAGAATAAAAAGGTATATGGATGCCTACTGTATTATTCTTATTGTTACAACCTTTCTAAAAGTTTGAAATTATTTAAAAATTAAAAAGTAATAAAGTGACATGAAATGCACTTCATAAATATCATGGTTGAGTCTTATTTTTTGTTGTTATTGTTGTTCTTACTGTTTTTAAACCATATGATAAACTCTGCTTTTTAATTGAAGTGGTTGGCTAATTTACATTTAATATAATTATTTATATGATTGGTATAAGTCTAACATCTTTGCTATTTGTTTCCTATTCATCCTACCTTTGCTTTGTTCTTTGATTGATTTATTATTTTAATCCTCATCTGAGGATATTTTTCCATTGATTTTTAAAGAGAGTTGAAGAGAGAGGGAAAGACAGAGAGAAACATCAATGTGAGAGAAACACATCAATTGGTTGTCTCCTGTATGAGCCCCGACCAGGGCCCGGGCCGGAGAGGAGCCTACAACCAAGGTACATGCCCTTGACTGGAATCATACCCAGGACCCTTCGGTCCGCAGGCCAACGCTCTATCCACTGAGCCAAACCAGCTAGAGCTTCCTTTATTTTTTATTCTTCCTCTCCTGCTTTCTTTTGGATTACTCAAATATTTATTCACTATTCAATTTTTTCCTTTACTAACTTTTTACCTATACATCTATTTTACAATTTTAGTTTTGTTCTAGGGCCTAACTTAACACAACTTACTTTAAGCATTATACCTCAGATTAGCAAACCTCAGACAGGCAAACTAATTTATGAAAAATTAAATAACCAGCTTCTTAACAATAAAGATATTTTATTCAATACAAAAATATTTGCCAAGTACCTACTATGGGCATATAGTAATTGACAGAGTGGCAAAAAGAACTCAGAGAATATAGTTGCAATCCATATTCTTTCTACACCATCATCAATAAAGCACACAGACTTAAGCCAAAAAAATGTCTAATGAATGAATAACCAAGAATTAATCATTCAACCCACCAGGAACATGTATATAGTGTCAAAAATAACTACAATTTCCCTTCATGATTTATTTAGTCCTGTAAGACTCCTATTTGCCATGCAAGTAATTTCATTCCTACAAGGTTATATTTTTCAATTCCCTACATATTCTTAATTTTTTTCCATATTAGTAGATACTGCTCAACCAAGACATTTCTATTTAACGATGTCAAATTTGTTTCAGCTGACTCTTAATTGTATTTCAAATTTTCAGCTGGCCAAATCAAATCTGTTTTCCTGAAGCATGGAGAGAAAATATAATAAAATTTCTAAATACCATCTCTGCAGCATCATACCAAACAGTAATATCATTTCTCCAATCTTAACCAAATCAATCAAAATGATACATTTATACTTATAGATTCATTCTCATCTCAAAATAAGCTCTTGACCTGTCATTTACCCTAAGATATACAAGAATTAACTGTAGGAAGATCGTCATAAACTTAAGCTATATATAAGTTTATAAAATAGTGTTTAAGAACATTTTTATACTGATTAATTTGACATAGGACTAATTCCAGTGAAGTAAAGTACCTTTCAACAAAAATCCAAATACTGCACATCCTTGATTACTAGGTACTGGCATCTTCTCATTTTAAAGTCTAGTAAAAGAAGTTTGTTAAAAGATCTCTGAAGATGATAGAAGTTCATGAGATCAACAGCATCATCTTCAGACAGAAACATTCCTGTCTCACTGCTTATGACTAAGGGAAGGTTTTAGGTTGCTGATTTGTGTGTTGTGGTCTTAACCTGTGACTCTGACGAGACGGCAGCCTTTGTAAAAGGACTTACCTGGAGGACATCCTGGATCTTCACCCACACATCTGCCATGTCGTACAGTTTGACATCTTCCTGCTGAGGCAGTGGGGCCACGACGGTGTCCTGCAGGTATCCCAGGACCACAGAGTGTGCAGTGGCTACAGCATTAAACTTGTCAAACAGCAACTCCAGCAGCTCCAGAAGTAACCTAGCCAAGAAATCAAAGAAGTAAATAACATTAAAACATATACCAAAGAGGGTTACACTGGCCTGCAAGAAAACCGACAAACTAGTGACAATGTAAACAGCACATTTCAGCAGGTTTGGTTTCAAACAGCTGTATGATCTAAGAAACTTGAAAACATATCTAAGCCTGTTTTCTCTACTATAAAAAAGAAATAATGTAAAAATTTAAAAACCAACTGTCAGGTCCCTAAACCAGCAGTAGCAGCTCCATAAACATTTGTTTCATTTTGAACATATTTTAGTGATTACAACAGTACTGCTCTGTATTCTTATAAGCAGTTTCTCCAAGGAATTCAGGTACTTTTTCAGCCAGTTCAGATGTCACACGGAATATGCTATTCCCTAGCAATAAATTGGGCGCTTTGGTAAGGATACTAATCCTTTCAGACGTGGAAAGCTGTGCTTACTACCATTCAAATGCATGATGTAAGTTGCCTGAAAAAAAATACACACCTGCCAAGCAATCTGACTTTCACCACAGGGAGCAGCTTATTCATCCGCATTATCTCATTTTTCATGGTGAGAAATGCTGGACACATATTATTAAATCAATTTTATATACTCAAGGACACAAAATGGGGTTGCAAGGCAGCTGGGACTAGAACAAACATTGATTTCCACGTCAGTGCATCTGCCACCTACCTCTCACTCTAGTTCTAGAATGCAGACGTCTGTTCAGGGACAGGGCGGAGCTTTGTGGCATGTAAGCAAAGGGATTCCTCTACCACTAAGACTCACAGCTTCACTGACCACATGGGCTGGGAATCTTTCCTCCTCTCAACTTGTATATCATTGTATCCCACTTCTAAGGAACTTAACCAAGTGTGGCTCCCATATGTGACCCAAACAATGCGGGTCCCATTCATTTATACACAGACACTCTACCTCCCTGCTCCACTGTTAGTCTTCCAGTGTGGGCACTGCTTTATACATCTCTGTATACTTAGCAGGGATCAGCAAATTGTGCTGAATGAATTCAATGTGTATACCATGAAAATCTGGAATATACTTATTGTATATTGTGTGGCTCTCAGTTCATAGTTCCTAAAGAGATTTATAAACCAACCTGGAAAGGAGAAAAGGAAAGCAAAAGAGCTTGTCAGCAGGGTCAATTAATAAGATCCCATTACCATAAATAAGAGGTTATGGCTACAATCTCATCAAAACATACAGCATATTATCTATTCCTCTGGCTTCTTTACTGCCCAATTATTATAATTAATGTGCCAATGTGATGGCCAATAACTGTCTTATGATAAAACCCTAACATGCATTTGACATTTTAATTTAGATGAGACAGAATCAATAAAAATTTATGTACTACTCCCAATCTAGAATATACATAATACAGAATTTATACACTGTATTTGTAAATAAGGGCCATCCTATCTTTTGAATGGTGATTTTTAAAATCTTTTAAAGGTCAATTCACATTCACACACATATATATCTAAAACAATTATTCTTTCTCATCTGTGCTATCAACAGAGAAAGGGACAAAGTACAGAAGATTGTCTAACTTAGCCAAAATAGTTAAGTGTAAGACATAATCTGTATAAAACTGGTATCTGGCATGACACAGAATAAGTACTTGATTAAGGGATGGTCCACTTTTCAAATAAAGATTTATGCCGACTATGTAAGCCTGTGGTTCCCAAATATCAATCCACAGACCATAACGTATTTTTCAGTGCGTATAACAAAATAAGAAAAATAGGACCATATATTGACTTTTCACAAAGGTAAATATATTTAATTTGATATTTTTTATACTCTCCTGACAGGAGAATCTGGTCCTTTCTCTCAAATGTCCCTACTTGACAAAATTAAAACTTAATAACCTTATGTTAACCTCCAACATTTTTGAAAATCATACTGATCCATGACATTCAGACGCCAGCGGCACTGGCATCCACCTTCCCAATGGCATGAAGGCCTAGGCATAAGCCTGCAGAGCAGCAATGAAGCAGAAGCACTGAAGAGAAGGGCCTCTCTGAAAGGAAGGCGCTGCTGCCTGGCTCTGTCCAGGGCCACAAGCTTGTGGCTGAACACCACGGCTGCCACTCAAGCACAAGGCCAACTCAGCCACCAGGGGCAGTGCTGTGTGTGGAAGAGACCTAGCAGGGAAGTGAGGTGAAAAGTGAGATCCATAGTGTCTATGAACATCACAGAAGCAGCAATCCCTTGACAGAATGCTGAAAAGTGCCAGCTCTATCACTCCTGAGGGATCAAGGCCAAGACAGACCATCACAGCACGGGAACACTGCATGGGGAAGAGTAAGGGAGAAGAGACAGGTGAGAGGGGTGAGCTGCCACCTATACATCTGCCTCCTCAGAAACATCCAGCCACTTCAAAGAGAGGGACGCTCTCCTCTGCCTTATTATCACACAATCAAGGCAACAGTAATAAAACCTGTGACTCCAACAACAAAAGTAGAAACGTTTGTGCTACAAACGATACCCTCAAGAAAGTAAAAGACAACCCACAGAATGGGAGAAAATATTTGCAAATCACGTATCTGATAAAGGATTTGTATTTAGAATATCTAAGGAATTCTTACAACTTTTAATAAAAAGACAAATAATCAAACTTAAAAATGGACAGCACATTTGTATCTACCTTCTCAAAAAAAATATGATTAATGAGCAAACAAAAAGATGTTCAACATCATTAGCCATCCTATCTAATAAAAGAGTAATATGCA